ATCCCTGGGAATAATGATCAAATAACAAAATATTAATGCAACCATGTGAATGGTCATTGATATTGCGAATACAACATGTGTCGGTAACTAAATTGGCGGTATCAATGGCCAGCGAGTATATACACGGTAATGAGCCACAAAGGCAGGGATGTCATTAAACAGGAAAGCCTTCAACTTCTTTTACGACAACCCAACCTCCGAGTGAAGGTTTCACGCTACATTCTAATGCTATCAAGTGAAATTATGCATCACACATGAGAAACGCATTAGTAACTGAGAAATTGTTATTAGCATGCGTCGTTACAGTCTGGGTTTAATCTCGTTTAACGTTTTGCAACCAAACATATCAACCTGTGATCGATTTAGCATTTGCAAAGACACTCTAGCTTAAATTCGATCACAAATTCGTGACTATTTGAGTATAATACAGGTTTATGATGATGAACACGTCAACGAGCCAATGACTGTTCACACCCATTCAACTGCCCAATATGTGTCACCATCTGCATCCGACTGCACTTCTACCATAAAGACATCTTTATGCACTGCCACTATACATGTATTGCTCAAATAATATTACAATCATTTCTTAAAACGACATTACTGTAGAACTTATAGAACATAACAATGACTTTACTGTGCTACTTCCAATGTCTTGTGACGATGAAATACTAGACAACAGTACAATTTCAACAATTTATACTCACTGAACACAATTGTACATTTGAACATCACGTGTTTATCCTTTAAGTAGATAATCCTGTCTTAATCCAAAATCTGATTCGAAGCAAACTGAAAGCAGGGTTTGAAACATGTTCATAGATTTTGAGAATGTTTCTACTCAACCAGAGAAATAAATAGTTACCTGCCTCACGCGTGCTACCGCGGTAATAAGGCACCCAGTATGCTGTCAGTTACTATGGTTGGCTGTGATTGGGACAGCTGCTATCTGATGACAATGTGCTGGTACTAAATGAAAATGTTTGATGTGCATCAGCCTGATCATGAAGGTTGTATCTTGAAGGTACACACGGGAACAAATGGTACAAGTGAAAACAGGGATTTACATCGGACATCATTATCAAACCGGAAAATATTTAAAACAACCTTTGGCAGTTTTCTCCTTTGAGAGAATAGAGAATGGTTTTAATCTGCTTCAATTCTGATTTATAATGAACAATTTCGACTCCCGTGGAACTATTCAGAGATCAAAGGATATACAGGAATGGTTCACCGAACCTGTTATTATGATGGAAGTCCAACGGGGAAAGAGAAGATTGAGTTCTAATGGTCTCGGTGGTTTGTCTTCCGTAAATGCTAATTAGCCCTAGATGATTTGTATAGAGGAAGTATGTGTACATTCAGATTAGTGAATGGAAAGTAATTTAACTCCTTTCAAATAAACTAATTGGAATTTAGACGTACAGCGACTGTAGAGACCTATGGAATTATTACATGATTTTCCAAGTACCTTGCAACATGTAAAATAAATGTGAAGGATTTAAGGTGCCCAAGGCTCAGCGGTAGTTTGTAAACATGTAGGAAAAAATAGAGTAGAGCGGAGCTGACCATACTATAATATTCTGAGGCTCTTGCGTTGGATCCGACAATGCGGAGAAAGAGATACTTGTTATGTTTATAATTAATGTTGTTTGAAGCTATAAATGAAAGGAGTTTCTGTCTCAATCAAAGCAAATATAAAACCTACATTTATTAAACAAGGATCAAGTTATAAGCCTAAATATTTACTTTATATAAAACACCTACATATTTTAAACAAGATAAAGTCTGTTTCAGTCAGAATATTTAAAGAACAACCTTCAACAATGTATTTATTGCAGCAGACAATTTTCTATTTGTCTTAACAGTCTGAAGTCATAATCATTTTTCCAAGCATTTTCTGAGACAGTTTTGTCCCCGCCCCCTCCCCACGAATATAAAACTCGCGTTCACATGAACCGTGTTGGTTGTATGAGCGACAGAAATTATGTCTGATGTATGATTTGAGAGATTAAAAAGAGGATGCATTTGTTGAGCAAGTACCGTTTGATGTGGGTTCGAATCTCAGAACCTAGTTCAGTTCCATCAGCACCATGCCCTTGGTGCATTAGTAAACGTTACACATTACGTCGCATGTATCCTAGCTAAACGCCCTGCATAACTGCCCACACACTGAGGGAAACAATGACAAACCACTCAGGTAACCACACCTCGGTGTCTACTACATATATTTGTGCCATTAATACACGTGACACACGCATTAGCGTTGGCATATCCATAAAGAGAATTTTGAAATATGCTTTTGGCAAATCCAATTAAGTGACCTGATGATCACGTTGTGGCGCAGTTACAAGTTAATGTCAACATGTATCAGGTCAGGAAAAAAGATAAACATCTGACATGACAAGAAGTATTTATATAATCCCTAACCCCTAACTCTTTAAGTACGATTGAACGTATGTTAGGATAATCACTATTTATTTGTTTATTTATCGCAGGGGTCACACGATACAGGAATGCATCGAATTTTGTGAGATTTTCATGCAACATACCCCTAATCATAATTTCGATTTAACAACACATTTTTATCAGTCGGGTCCTTGAAAATATCCAAGGGGATATAAGATACAGCCTTTACATCCTTACATCTTCATATGATATGTTTGAATGAAAAGATTTCATGGGGTCACCGGTGGCCCAGGCGTCTGAGGCACTACGATTCGCTGTGCAGACTTGCGTCTCTTGGGCTCGCCAGAATCTTATTTTTGTGGATTCAAATCCCGGTTCGCCCCAATTACGTTTCTAGGTTTGTCAGAACCATACCCGTGCTCGTGGGTTTCACCGAAGTGGTAAACGTCTGAGACCTGCATCACTTCGGGCTTTCCTCACACATTAAGCTGGAATACTGTTAAAGGCAGCGTTAAACCGACCTCACTCACTGTAAATTGATGACTCCCAGTTGTAATAGCTTAGGAGAAGCTATGTTATCTTTTAATATTAAATAATTTCATACTTTGAAGTTTACAGTGTTTCTTTCATGCTGATTGGCTGAAGTGGTAGTCACATGATCTGATATTTGGCATTTACACACCTGTCAACGGACAAAAAAAGTTCACACGATGTGAACATTTTTTTTGGTGAAATTGATCGTGTGAACTTTTGCCGGAACTACTTTCCGGGGTTTCCCAGAATTCTCGATCGGTGTTTACGATCAACTCGTTTTTCTATTTTCTTTTTAATACTGGCATTTATCAGCAATATAATTAATTTAGTATTTTTGCCTGGTCTTGTAACATTTCATCTGACTTATAAATTAATAAATGCTTTGGTTCTGGTGATTGATGTCGTCCAGCTGCTACTTTGAACAAAATGGATTGTCCTTTCGGTGATTTGGATATGGAATGGCCATCTTTCAATACTAATAACGCAAGTGAAGAAAGTCAATTCTGTAATATTACTCAGGTGAACGAAATTGATTTATTGAGCGATATTTACTTTGATGCCTTCTTTTCGGAAATGATAGAAATCTAGCACCAATGAAAACGATGTCGTACCCTGCTCAGTTGTGGCCGCTGACACAGAGCAAACGCGACCGCTCCTGATCAGTCCCAAACTAAACCCCGATTTACTATCGTATAGGGGAAAAAATCTAAGATTTTGAGAAACCATAAAACATTAAAAGGTAAGGAAAGAAACTTAAATTAAAAAAAACACCCCACTAAACTTGCCTACCTGTTTTATCGATTGGTCAAAGGAGACTAGAAAACAATGTATGTTTTCAGTGATGCGTTTTTTTTAAATATAGCGACTTAAAATTTTATAAAAGGGCCTTTCAGCTGTCATTTCCGTGTGTGGTTGAGACTGGTTGTCTAAGAGAGATTTTGAAAGTTTGGAACCTTATTATCATGTTTCAACTTTCAACAAAGTTGGCATTAGTTTAAATCATTTAAAAATACTTCAATAGTATGTGTTTGTACTTTTAGTAGTAGTTTATCAATCTCACATGGTAAATCTCATGCAAATGCCTGAGGGTCAAAAAGGGCCAAAACACAGACACTGGCCCTTTCCACCCTCACACAAATTAAAAACATAAGTTTATTTCCTTTTTTGAATGTTTTTTATAACAACATTTATATCTCTGCTGTCAGTATGCGTTAATGTCTAGGAATTTATTTATTTCCTTTTTTGAATGTTTTTTATAACAACATTTATATCTCTGCTGTCAGAATGCGTTAATGTCTAGGAATTTATCGGTGAAAAATAAGTGCATTAACATTAATAATATTATGTGTTTTCATCACTTTTCTCAAAACAGACGCCACATGAAATTGACCCTTATGACCCTAAGCTCTTCATTTGCACTGTCGTGTCACTTCCTTGTCTGGTTTGTATTGTATTATTGCACTATCGGGTCACATCCTTGTCTGGTTTGTTCACCGACCTCCGTCGCATAACAGAACTAGTTTGCAGGGTCAGGCTATAAATACTCTTTTGTATGAACGGCGGGTGCTACAGGTAGATCAGGGCATGCTTCAGTGACCCATTCATATCATTTTCAAAGCCATTATACCCCTTCTTCTCTTGCATTGACTATTTTATTCACCTCCTCACCTACAGTTCTAGTTCTACCAAATACTTATCTAAGCAATCCTACCGGAATGCCCTGGTTGGGAAGTTTAATGCAACGCAATTTGCAGTTCCGAGCTGCGTCCATTGACGTGTTAGGATCTTACAGTCGAATCCCAAATTCGCACTGATTATGAGTCTTGTTTGCCAGCACAACACCTGTTTCGTTGGTTTCACCAACGTGGTAACTGTCTAAGACCTGAAACCGCATGATATATTTGAAATACTGAATATGATATAACTGAAATACTTTCAAAGCGTCGGTAAACCCAACCCCTATCATTCATGCGCTGAAGGCGTGTTTCGCAGTGACGGGTCAGAAAAGGTCTCTGTTCATGACGGAGACCGCCAATACGAGTCTTACACAAATAATGTTTTTGTTACATGTCACGCCGATCCAATCCAACGTTGATTCACTTCTTTCGAACACAATCTTGACAACAAGCAACTGTCGTGTCCGAAAACTTTGTAAGATATATCGGTATTGACGCATAGCAGTCTGACGCCTCTGTTTAAATATAGAAAGGCGCAAGCCGGCTGCCTAACAGGTATTCCGTCAAGGAGAGTTGTACAACAAGGACCACGTCTGATGTAGGTAAAAAAGATAAAATATTATCATTTTTCAGGCACGAAACGATATCATAAGTAGAGATTCTGTCATTGTAATTTGGGGACAGACATATGTGTAATGACATTTTCAATGTACCTATTTGTAATATGCGATAAGCAGCGTGTTACTTACCCGGTATTTTGGATTGACTAAAGGATGTTTGAACTCGACACTGCTTACATTTTGTAGCATATGATACTTAATATGAGTTACAATTTCGTTATGATATGTTTTAAGGTCAAATTGAATACTTAACGAATTTTGTTTCAGACAATGGTATCCCTGTGGGTTTATGGCGTGTTTCTTCTCGCATGTGCCGAGATTGTTACAGCTCAAGTAACGTTTTTTAGTAAGTAGAGATTATTGTTGTGTGAAGATCCGGGGTAGGATAGGTCTTCAGCAAACCATGCTTGCCGTTTAAGGCGACTAACGGGATCGAGTAGTCAGACCAGCATGGTTCCCTGGGTATGCTGCGCTGGCGCTACACTGACCAAGGCAATGGTTGCACAATGGCCGCCTCCACTAGACGAATAAACATGGCGGACACGACATTACTATAGAAAAACGCTAGAATGTATCTACTGATCAATCTACATTAACTCCAAAGGGTTTTCAATATTCAGACATCTGAGAAAATTCCATCTTGTTATTTTATTACAATTTGATAACGGTATTTTACTAACGGTATTTCATTAACGTGGTCATTTAATTCCATGTATTATGTCTACGATTTCGTGACAACAGTGAGCTGACGCGAAATATTAACGCACACATCACTGTTGAAAATTGGGTGTGCCATTGTTTACGTTTCACCGATGTGACGACCACTTTCGAGTCTCGAAACAGCTTAAATAATGTTTTCCTTCACCCGTCACGTATACCTTGCAAGAGCGTTCATGAAAATGCTAAGAAAAAAAATAAACCACCCGTTCTAGCGTTTTTCTATAGTAAATACATGTCGTGTCCGCCATGTTTGTTCGTCCAGTGGAGGAGGCCATTGCCCAGTCATTGCCTGGTTCAGTGTAGCGCCAGCACAGCATACCCAGGGAACCAAGCTGGCAGGAATTTTGCCGAGTGCGGCGTTAAAAGAACAAACAAACAAGCAAACCTATAAAAGTGTTTGAAAGCATTACAAAGAACTTGAATACTGTAACCCTTATCAAAACGTTTGAGCAAGAGTCGCATGACGCCAGTGGTACAATGAACAGCCTCGATTGTACCTAAATAGTCCTTACGCCAAAGGCTTGGGCTGCTTAGATCTTAATATGAAAAAAAGATGCAGCGGTTTCAATGGTCTGTTTTGTTTCTAGTTAAGATGGATAAATGAGTGGAGGGGAATCTAAGTGACTTACACGTGTAATCCAGTGCATTCTAATGACAATAATGAATTCAGGAAAAGCTATACCGTGATCTATTGCTAAAGCATCTTATGTTCTAGTTTCTATGGTAAATATTTATCTTGTCATTTCTGGTAGCATCGTGTCAAGACGCATCTGCTGTTGGAACTATGTCAGTTGCGGTTCCGGAAGCAGATAGCCAGCTGCTTATTGACGGTAGGTGCCTTCAGCTCCTGAACAATGGTTTGCAAGAAGGGTTCATATCATGCCGAATATTCAAACTTAAAGTGCAAGTTTCATGGGTATATACAACTTTGCAGAATTGTATAGATCGTTACCTCGTTAATGTAAATATCGTATTCGAAGCGGCGATGGGAATGCGGTTTATTTGCATTTTAGTCCTGTCTATCAATTTCAAAGACTTAAATGAAAATACAGCGGTGGCGGATATAGAGGCTCCATTTATGGTCATGTTGGAGGTGATTTCCTCCAAAATGACACGCTTGATCGTACAACAAACGCGCCCCTCCGTTCGCAACCTAGCAACCACGTCTCCGCTTTTAACGGTCATAGTCGGCTGCACACGTCATCGGCAACGCCAATCTATTGTTCACCTTTTCTAACTCTGAGACATATCCACACTAAACAATGATCATTTGTACACTGTCCTTCGTATGAATGGGATGAATGGCTATGTTCAGTACGGGACCTGTGACACAACTGACATACATGGTCTTACTTACTTAAATTAGGAATTTAACGTGCGCTTTCCGACATATGCGTATATGCGCCAGGCCATTTGGTGTTTGGTCGAAATGGGCTTGTCCGATATATGCCTAGTGCTTTAAAGGTTTGTAAGTCATTTAGGGGATTTAGTGCCGTTGCTAATGAAGCTACCCCACCTAGTCAGCGCTTCTAAGATTCGTTCGGATTGTTACAAATACAGACCTCAAAATACGTACTTTTAATTAAGCGCAACGGTGTTAAGTTTACAGTTTCACACTGTTTTTTTGCGGCCATTCTATTACTATTTTCACAATACCTTCACATTAACATTAAAAGTATTTCGATTAATAATTATTGGCTTGGTCGGAAAACAAATCGGGGTTTAAATTAGGTTCTATTATGAAGAGATAGATCAGAAGAGTTATTTTCCTTGTCTAAACTTTGCCGTCATGGTTGCGTTAGTCTTCTGTCTACTGAGACAAACATAATAAGAAAAAGCTTCTGATGAGAAACATTATTTGTTACAAGACCACAACACTAGAATATGTTATCCGAATTTAAGAGTGTCAAACTTTAAATAGGCGAAATCATCTACAGAGGCTGGTTGCCATGTCTTTCGTCACTACTTGACCACCAAAATGAACCCATTCGGACGCTTGTGCTAGAAGAAAGGGATGTGTGATACAACACGGATCAAGAAAGTAGAACACTCGTCTTCACTTTTCCCAATTCCACAACAAACAACACAGTAATATAACAAACACCTCTAAATGTTAACCTGATAATCTTGTCCAGTTTGTCAGACATGTTCGAGTTTAGAAATCTTTAACCTGCATGGGGATAACTGAAGTGTTTCATTGAACAGGTTCTCCGAGCACGTATAAAGTCAGCATCGGAATTGATGCAACCCAGGACAGCATAGGTCTATCATTTGACAGCAATGTTGAAAATAAAGTTCCACCCTTGGAATATTTCCAACTCGTCAGCGGTAACAGCAGCAGCGGCAGCAGTGGTCAGGAGTGGTATCTTCAGTTGATAAAGGCCATTAACAGAGATGTAAGGATAATAACCTCGCCAGAATCACACATGTTTCGTATTTGTAAAAGTATACATTTAGAGGTTTCAAACATATTCCTTGTTTGTCTTGATAACATCTTTGTCATTGAGATTTAAATACTTTTTTTTCTATCACCGTTGACGTTCACAGATTAATGGCTTGCGCTGGGTGTTTAACCATTACAAATATTGCATCATTTTAATGGTAGCTGACATGGGACTTTACGATTGCATATGTACAATTTTAAAGCCAGTGTGAAATTGTCTTGTCTTCTTATACAGATCCAATATGTTTCAGGGCATCCGACCAGATTCATTGGATGACATTACTGTAATGGAATACACGATGAAGTGTACTGACCTTCCAATAAACATGGTAAGCCATACTTAATATTACAAACAACCTGTGAAGACCCGGTGTAGAACAGGTCTTCAGCAACCCATGCTTGCCGTAAAAGGTGACTATGCTTGTCGTAAGAGGCGACTAACGGGATCGGGTGGTCAGACCAGCCTGGTTCCCAGGGTATTCCCTTGATATATAAGCCATGAAGGGTAACCGCCAATGTATATGATGGGTATTATGCTTTTGAAATATACAAATGAAGTTTAACTTATATTTCAGACGTTTTTCATTTTACTGAGAGTTCAAATTTTGGATGTCAACGACAATTCACCACTGTTCGTCTCGGCGCCGTATGAAATATCCTTGACCGAGGTAGAAATATATCCTTATTTATATTAATGCACGTCATTCTCTTCAAACAAAGTAATACTTGCACTAACCGATACACAACCATTTTCCATCTATACTGAAACGACGCTATAATAGTACATGAAAATAGTTTGCCCGTGAAGATCCGGGGTAGAAAAGGTCTTCAGCAACCCATGCTTGCCGTAAAAGGCGACTATGCTTGTCGTTAGAGGCGACTAACGGGATCGAATGGCCAGGCTCGGTCACTTGGTTGATGCATGTCATCGATCCCAATTGCGTGGATTGATGCTCATGATGTCAATCACTGGATTGTCTAGCCCAGTCTCGATTATTTACAGACAGCCGTCATATAGCTGGAATATTGCTGAGTGCGGCGCTATACAACAAACAGACAAAATTAATTTTTTAAAGTAGTTGTTATTCATGAGGTGTGTCTACATTCACAATCAAAATATATTCCCATCTATTTACATTTCCCCACAAATGTTTCTTCTAGTTCTTCTGTACATAGATTATGCCTGTGGGTTCTACCGTGTTCCGAGGTATCACCGCAACAGATCTGGACTTCGATTTCAACAAAAACATCGTATTCGATATCGTGCCTGGTGATCAAAGCTTGGTGAGTTGTCGTCACTTCCTGGAATCATTTATATGTGAAGAACTGCAAGTTACAGATTTTCTGTGCGAATTACCCAAACGTTTGATTTCCCCAGACCACGAATCAAAGTCGCGAAACAGTGTATTCTGTTTCTTACCATTAATTTGGAATTTATTCGATTACGATTGACCAATTCAAATATCAAATAGTACCTCACATTGAAACAGCCGATTTGACGGCCGCATCATCGCGGAAGCTAATATTGAGGAAAACAATTTCTTTCTTAGTCACTGTCGGTAATTATGCGCTGATGCGCTGGTTATTACACTATAGAAAGTATTTGTGACAACATTCTTTTAATAATGGATTTATTAAGTGTATTACAAGTTTTAGGAACAACAGGGAGTTTGAGATTTGGCGTTTTTCTATACCCGACATATACTTTGCGTCATAGTAAGCGCTGTGACGTCATAACAGTGGTGTGGAGTGTGGAACCTTGCAGGGCTTGCTTACATTTCTGTCGGGGTTCCAACATTCTGGAGAGTCAGTGTTACTCGCATATGCGAGTGAAGTAGAATGAGTTAAACAAAAACATTTAGCGCAGTTAAATCTACAAACTGAAAAAACAGTATGTTTATCTCCAACATACCAACTAATTGTTGTTGATTATAACGGGAGTCGAGTGGTCAAAATTGTTACAGAGGTGGGATAGTACTTTGCAGGGTGATTACAAGGGAAGACCAACTGGCAGGTGATATTTGAAGTTGTTGTGTGTCACCGTATTCCGCCAATAAGGATCGATTCCAACCTTATCTTCAACATGTTTATTTGATGTTTTTTTGGGGGGGGTCTGGATTGTTGTTTAATGCCGCACTCAGAAATATTCCAGCTATATGACGGGCTGTAAATAATCGCGTCTGGACCACACAATCCAGTGATTGAGATCATGAGCATCCATCCACGCAATTGGGATACGATGACATGCATCAACCAAGTCAGCGAGCCTGACCACCCGATCCAGTTAGTCGCCTTTGACAGCAAGAATGGGTTGCTGAAGACCTATTCTACCCCGGATCGTCACGGGTTTTATTTGATGTAGATTCAGTAACGTGCAGGTCGTTGTTATGTAGGGATTCCCGGTAAAAATATAGGTCCCAAACAACCTATGCTATGTAAGAAGCGAAGCGGTCGTCAGACTCATCGTATCCTTATTGCATGGATCGATGCTCATGATGTCAATCACTGGATTCCGTGATATAGCTGCAACATTGTTGAGTGCGGCGTTAAGCAACAACAAAGATGTTATGTACACGTGGATGTTGACTAGGTCGGGCACGACACCATTCACTAACTTCACAAGACATTTTATTTATGTTTAGTTTGATGGCTCAACGAAATTCTCCATCGACATTCCTCCCCTCGGATATGTCACTTTGAAAAGTAAACTGGATTTTGAGTCTAATACACAGTACAGCTTACAGATAAGAGCAAGGGTAAGTACGTTTACATGAACAAACATTTTGTGTAAAAGGTATTGTAAAGAGACCATTTCGATTTTCAAAACAATTTCCACAATTATCAATTCACAAGTGGTTAAATGTGTGTGCTCCAATAATTAGGTTCGATTTCCCACTTTGGAAGTAATGAATGACGGCCATGTTTGTTGTCAGCCACTGTTATGCATGGGGCTTGAATATTGCTGAAAGCTGCTACAAATATATTCACTCAACACAAGGGGATGACTGGGTTGCCAAGGGAACGATGCATCCGGGTCACAGCTGACAGGGCTCGATTTGAATTGTGCAATACATGGAAAGGTATAAACAAGAGCGTCATTCTTTCAAAACTAGTTTAAAAATGTGGCACCCTTTCCCAGCACAACGCGAGTCTTTAATGTACCTCATTTTAACGCTTCCATAAACACACTATGAAAACCGGTATCTGTACAATCTGCACCTTGTTTTGACAAACATAAAGATCTCGTGTGGCGCAGGATAGACTCATCTATTCGGGAACCCTGGTATAATCACTACTTAATAATGATTTATAAACGCATGCTCATGATATAGTCGGACTCGAACAATGGACACAATGTCTTTCTTATGATTATGTCAATTTTATTCCGAACTCACTTCTATGCACCATGGCGTCTTTTCTATTTGTACATGTTTACCTCGTATGTATAATCCTTGCTTTCAAGGTCCTTTTGTGACGTGAATGACCTACATTTGAAATCATTTCTCCTTTTATGACTGTTGCTGTTTAGTCGGCTCTTCGCCGTAAAACACCCTCGGGGATACGTCCCATACAGACTATACTTGCTATTTAAACAGACGTAACGGACAATGTAGGTGTTATCTGATCGGGAGACAAATGATCCCGACAAGGCGGACCGCGTCTATCATCTCTGTACCTGGCACAAGGCGGACCGCGTCTATCATCTCTGTACCTGGCACAAGGCGGGTCGCGTCTCTCATCTCTGTACCTCGCACAAGGCGGACCGCGTCTATCATCGCTGTACCTGGCACAAGGCGGACCGCGTCTATCATCTCTGTACCTGGCACAAGGCGGACCGCGTCTATCATCTCTGTTCCTGGCTGTCTGGCCCAGCCTCGACGTGTCATAAATGTAGTTAGCATAGAGTTATCTGATGCGTAAAACAGCATTCACTTACTAACACACGAATAAGTTTAATATGGATGGTATGATTGTTGTTTATAGCGCAGTTACTCGATACATGACTGACATGAGATGAATCATCAGTGTATTTTCTTCACTTTGACATCCCCAAACCTAGAAGGTGTGTAAAACTTCAATGTTATGTCTTTGGGTTTTAAGGACAATATTAGGGTATTTTACCGTTAAATTTTGTTTTCAAAATTGTTCTGGAATTTATAATATGAAACCTCATATTTTGTCAGCTAGGAAATTAATCTCAGTCGTGGGTATTGATTGTGTAGATACAGTGAAGAAAACAACATTAGCAACGCCTACCTCAAACAAGCTAAATTCTTACAGACCCGTGAAGATCTGGGGTAAAATACGTCTTCAGTCTTATGCTTGTCGTAAGAGGCGACTCACGGGATCGGATGGTCTGGCTCGCTGACTTGGTTTATGCATGTTATCGATCTCAATTGTGTGGGTCGCGATGCTCATGATGTCAATCACTTGATTCTCTGATCCAGACTCGATTATTTACAGAAAGTCGCCATATAGCTGGAATATTGCCGAGTGCGGCGTTAAACAACAAACCAACCAACCAATCAACTAAATTCTTACATATCACTTTGTTCACCGTGTGTTTAACCACACAAAATATTCTTCACTTTTCTTGAATTCATTGATAAATAAATACAAACGACCAAATTTTGTCCATCAAATAATTCTCAGTTAATCGTCCATAAACGATTCCGACTATATCATGAGCATGTGTTTATAAACCAGTGTCAAATAACCCTTATAAAAACAATTCAGCAAACATAGTCTATCCGTGTCATGACGGGTAATTTTAATTAATCTTCAAAAAGTTTGCAACATGGTGTACATTACTTCTTGCACTGGATGTAGGATGGTGCACCTGCACCATCGACCCGAAGCAGCACCACGATTCTGAACATCACCATCACGGACGCGGATGATCTGCCCCCAGTCTTCGAGTACTCAACCTGTGTTGCTGATGGAGACGGAAAATGTTTCAACCCGTCCTATGATGTTGCCTTAACATCAGGCAGTGTGAGTACATGAACCAATCGAGACTATATCAACGATAGGCACAAAGTCTCTTGTAACAATTATCAATGTGTAAATATTGCCCGATGTTGTCTGTAAAGTGTCTTGATTATTTAGTGTGACATCATCTTTTTCATGTTATAAATGGTTAAACAATTCTTGTTGAACTGGTATGTTGCCTTCTGTTTGATATTTACATTTATCATCCAAAAACTGGCTCCCACAGGAGATATCACGTGGGTGAGATATATTATAGATATCGCTGCAATGAAATTGCATCACATTGCTTTGCAGGCCATTGTGGCGTCTTTGGTTACATGACGCCACAAGCAAATGGCATCACTACTGGCTCTGCTACTGAAGCTGTTAGCAGTACGTTTTACACTTAAGACACTGCTTATTACTGTCTACAAACTGAAAAAGTTGGAAGAATGATGTTGGATGATAAATAAAATATCACCCTCATGTCTTTTAATATCAAGTATATCAAAACTCGTTGATAAAAGTGGCAAAACACCTCGGCAAGCCTCGGAGTTTTTCCACTTTTTTATCAACTCGTGTTGATATATTTGATATCAAAAGACTCGGTGAGATTCTTTTTATTTCATAGGTCCCTAAATGACTGTCTTGAGTAGTCAAGGCCACACAAACATTTTACAAAAAGTTACTAAACTGTCCATGTCAGTATTTTGGATAAGATGGTATCCACTGTACCAGCTTTTAATCATTAACGCATGTCTCAGAAACACCACAGCGTCACATGTATGTCGTAACGTACAGTATTGCGAACAGATGACTTTGAACTTACATAACTTATATGTGACACGGACGCATACTCCACACGTGGAGCGATCATTACACTACTATAACGCCAAAATGTTCTTTTCCGTGTACTTAATTTGTTTTTTTACGTATGGAGTGTCGTACGCCTCTATGTAAACACCCGCCCTCAAAGTAACCGTACGTTCAATACGGTAAAACATATACGTATAACCACTAACATCATCTTGCTCATATTTACAGATTGGCGCCTTGAGCATCTACCCAAGACCCCTGAACAACCCACCCACTCCGGTCAATATCCAAGCTCGTGACCAAGACAGCCTCAATTTCAACATTACATTCACCGTTGAACAGAGTAGGTTTTAGAAATATCAGTGTAAAATGTACATATCTCATGCCCGAAATGATTCTATACAATTTAGTAGAGGTCCGTTTGGTTAACCACCATATCTTGATATTTTGATATATTCAACACATGTGTATAATCAATTGCGGCGTAAAACCATGTTCACTCACTGTCAATTACTGATGTCACTGGCCCTAGGGACTTTTAAGTAGGTTCGGTTTATACGAATGAAGAATATAGTTACACCAACAAGAAGTCCGCTTAACTCCCTTGGGTGAATATATTGTTCGAGTGAGTTTGGTTGTTCAGTATTTTAATAATAAAAAGGCGTGTCAGCTTCCCTGTGGAAGGAAAGCCAAGAGTGAAGGTTTAAGAAGCTTGCCAGTTTTGTGCTGACAAACATAGAAACATAATCGGGTCAAACCGGGATTCGAACCCACGATAATAATCTTCTGGCGCACAACTCTGCACATCGCATCTCGTCGCCTAAGACGACTGGCCACTCTTGCTCCTCAAGTAATTATTTCGCCCTATCCGACGTCGTTACTATGGCAACTGTACCTTCAAATATGTGATGATGTTTACCATGTTTCGATCTTCTCTCAGCTGACCCGGTCGGTTACGAGAACTTCTTTCAAGTCAGTACAGAGCCAGTTCCAGGCACCAGCAGTTTCCGGGCTCAGTTGCAACAAATTCAACCAATCAACAGATCGGGTGCAAAGACACTCGCAGTCATTCTTCGAGTAAGTAGGATAGACCTCCATTCATTCGTGGTACAAATCTTTAAGTTCCGTTTAGAAGTTGGTTGACGTACGCTACATTGAATTCGAATTGAATGAATGCATAAATATCATTCATGTCGAAAGCAGTCATATTGGAAGAAAACGAGCGCACGACTAAATATACGTTACTCACAAACATCTTAGACCCGTGTGCATCCGGGTTAGAATTGCAACCCATGCTTGGCCTAAGAGGCGACTAACGTCTAGCTTGCTGACGTGGTTGATGAATGTCATCCCTGTTGATCGATGTTCACTATGGCAGTCACTGGATTGTGTTGTCCAGACTTATTTACAGACCGCCGTCATAAATTCGGGATAAAATAGGTCTTCAGCAACCCATGCTTGTCGTAAAAAGAGACTAACGAGATCGGGTTGTCAGGCTAGCTGACTTGGTTGATGCATATCATTGTATCCTAGTTGCGTGGACCGACGCTCATAATATCAATCACTGGATTGTCTGGTCCAGACACAGACCGCCGTCATATAGCTGGAATATTGCTGAGTGCGGAGTTAGACAAACAACACAGAAAGTAAATATTCTATCACACAATAGAAATTGCTTTCTCTTTTTTTGGCTTTTGAAAGAGAATGAGTGTTACGCGGAATATGGTTTAATTATGTAGCATTATACCGTAAACGAGTACTGAGAATCAATGACGTTTTGATGAATAGCTCGACGACAGTTCAGTAAACTATTGCAAATCCACACAGATATTCCCTGGCTTGCACTGTGTTCAGATGAGTTGTGTGTATGTTACAGGCAGAGGAGGTGTCTAGTAACCGCTATCACAGCCGAGCCACCGTGTTTGTGACAGTGTTACCATCCTCCGCACCCCTTGAGATCACAAGCTCGACTGTATCACTCACTGGCTACATCAGGGAGGATGCTTACAAGGGTGGTGTTGTCATGGACCAAAACATGGTGGACCTGTTCAAGCTTATTGTCAGAAGCAATGTACGTGTAATGCGGACTGGAATTGTGAATGCCTTGTTCAATTGCCTAACTTCACGAAATGATGGTGCTGTTACATTTTGTTAATTGATGTTCGTTTACTTGGCTATTGTTCAGAAAACGTCAGTTCTATTTATAATGTAGCTTATTTTATCGCTTATTACATATACGTGTATCTATGTTCGTCGAATGTAGAATCAATAAATGTGTTGATATATATAGTGAGTGAGTGTGGTTCAACGCCACTTTCAGCAATATTTCACCGATATCACGGCGCCGCTAGGACACGGGCACCACGCGTTTACCCTTGTGGGAATGCGAACCCGGACCTTCGGCGTGACAAGCGAACGCTTTAACCAACAGGCTAACCCACCACCCCTTTACTTAATATACACATATGCCTCAGCTGGGACCATCAGTTCGAGAAAGGTGGAGGTTACGGACAGGTCCTTGTTCTTGTCTCAAGAGTCTAAATTGAATGGGTACAGGATGATCAGGCCTTGTGGTTCCCTGTGTTTTTCACTGATCTACTTTATTTCATTTTTTAAACATTTTTTTTTTTGGTGTACACAAACAATAAGTTTACATAGTATAGTTCATATGCAATCTTAAATGCATACAAGTTGCAAAGTATACATATGGATAATAACAAACAAAACTATTCCAGTGTCAGGATGGTAAGACACCTTTGTTAGATTGTGTAAGTTCGTTGTTTTACACAAATAGATGGTGACAGAGTGACCAAAATCTCATGAACTGTGTGTATTTACATTGTAAATATGATATGACATCCTACCCGATGGTATGGATCCTTGCTCATGTCATCACTCACTGGTTTATTTGGTAATTCACCATTCACTCACACCCCAACATATCATTAGTATGAAATGAACAGCTGCATGGTCTTGCTTTATTCACTGTATAATACTGGTTTAACATGACATTATTTTTTTTTTTTATTTGTCAGGTACCAACAAATAGTACACCAAAGTATACGTTTGAGGTTGATACAAACGGCTTCAGCGTCGACAGCAACAACATTTTACGACTAAACACGGCTGTGTTGGATTATGAAACTGTGAAACAATACACACTGTCGGTGAGTTCTGTCGGAGATATATGAACTGGGACATGTCATTCTGTTTGCCTAGATGTTTTCTGTGGTGAATTCAGGTGAACTCTTGACTTGCCTTTGCGTGTGTTGGTGTACCACTGGTACGCTCACCTTTTCGGGAACAGCTGTCATCATTACTACTTGGTAATGGTTCATAAACGTGGAATAGTACAACTGACCTTAATGATTATGGAAAGTGTTTGGTCGCTTCCATTTAGTCAATATATTGACTGCTGTTGTTGATGTTGAATGCACTTTCATGATGTGCATTATACTGCTTGCACCATATGAAAGGGTAGAAACAAACATCAATGGGATTTAAATCGGGACTGAGGGCAGGTCACTGCATGGTTCTGATGCCATTCTGATGGAGGAAGTCTCTTGTTGCTCTCTCAGTGTGGACACAGACGTTATCATGCTGAAACTCGTGGTTGCGGCGACGTGCCAAATGAGGTGGTGTCAGAATGGGTCCTCGATGTGGCCTGTGACAGTGGAGGTGTCTGCTCGTCAATCTTCGACGCACGGTGTCCGCACTCATGTGTCGCTGGTGTGTCCCAATGGTCTGTCGAGCAGTTTCCGCTGCAGTAACAAAGCGATCTTGAAGATGCTGTCGCACAATCTGACGATCCTGACGTCGGGTCAGGTGACCTTTGGTCTTCCACTATGTGGTCGGTCATCTGTAGTGTTACGTGGACTTGAAATGCATTGGCTACTTGCCGGGCGGTTTGTCCAGCTTGCAATCGTCCAAGAGCTTGATGTCGCTGTTTTCTTGTCAATCTTGGCATGTGGTAGCAATTCAATAACGAATGAATGCTATGCGATCTGGGTGGATTTTTGTAGGGCAAGAAACGGGGGAACGCATGTGCATTTCAATTTGCACAGAACTCACGTGCATCGGGTTACCATGGCCGTTGCCGTGATGCGTTTGGGCGATTGGTTTTATTGTCATCTGCTTTGGTTTTTTTATCATCAAATTTAATTTTTCCGGAAAAGGTAATGTTAAATTTAAGAAACTTTGACAAAAAATACCCAGATATTTAAATGACAACTTTTCATGAAATGTTACTTGGGGTAACGTTTCTTTGCGGTTCAGTATATACAAGCATAATGACTTGATTTGTATGTGGCAATTATACTTTTAAATGTAGGCGAAGTTAAAGAGTTTTTCATTTACACTTACATAGATGTTTTACACCGATTCATAGCCCTCCTTTAAAGCAGTGCATGTGTGACATAATGTTTGTACCTACTGTATCAAGGGACACGGGTTCGAAGCCTAGATTGGTCCTGATCGTGTTTCTAAGTGAAGTTTCCAACGTCTAAGACCTTCATCACTTCTTTATGAAGCTGACAAACCGTGACATAATTGAAATACTTTGACCCAACTCTACCATGAAATTGTGAAATACTCGATTCTGATTGGTCCATCAGAGGTATCAAATCACAACCGATTTGACGACTGCATCACAGCGGGAAATAATATTAATAAAAAAGTACTTGTTTCTCAGTCATTGTCGATATGCTTTTGAAATAATTACATGTACAATTAAACAATTAAAAACACGATCAAATCGACTTAGAGAGTGTGTCAAGTTTTGGTAATATCAAAAATAGCTCGAAATTTGGCGCTTTTCTAAGGCCGACTGTAAGGCCATATTTTGGCGTCACAATCAGCGGTGTGACGTCATAAAAATGACGTGCGGTATAGGACTAAACCATGAAAGGTTTGCTGACTCCTCTTTAGGTGACCATACTTCACGTCGGCTTACGAAGTAGCTTTGCTCCACACTCTCGATGCTTACCATCTATGCGAGAAAAGCATATTGACAACATACTACTCAATCACATAAAGCGTCATTGTTATAAACTTACAGTGTTTTAAATTAAGATCTTGTGTACAGGTAGATTTAGCAAGACTTTTAAAAGTTGAAACCTAAAGATGCCCATTCGGTTCAAAATTCTCAATCTTCAAAATACAATGCTCCCAGCTTGATAGTATACAAGGAAATGTTTTCACTTACAGATCCGTGCAAGGCCAGCAGGGACGTCCCAATCCTTTGTAGATGTTAATGTTACAGTCAACGTGGTGGACGTGAATGACAATTCCCCAGAGTTCTCTGCAACATTTTATGACGTTTCACAGATTGAGGGTGATTACTCCGGTAACCAAAAAGTGGCTCTCATACAGGTAAAGATACAATCCCAGTGCGAGAAAGATACAACCCTAGTGTAAGAAAGATACAATCCCAATGCAAGAAAGATACGATCCCAGTGTAAGAAAGATACAACCCTAGTGTAAGAAAGATACAATCCCAATTCAAGAAAGATACGATCCCAGTGTAAGAAAGATACAATCCCAGTGTAAGAAAGATACAATCCCAGTGCGAGAAAGATACAATCCCAGTGTAATAAAGATACAATCCCAGTGCGAGAAAGATACAATCCCAGTGTAAGAAAGATACAATCCCAGTGTAAGAAAGATACAATCCCAGTGTAAAAAAATACAATCCCAGTGTAAGAAAGATACAATCCCAGTACAAGAAAGATACAATCCCAGTGTAAGAAAGATGCAATCCCAGTGTAAGAAAGATACAATCCCAATGCAAGAAAGATACAATCCCAGTGTAAGAATGATACAATCCCAGTGTAAGAAAGATACCATCCCAGTGTAATAATGATACAATCCCAGTGCGAGAAAGATACAATCCCAGTGTAAGAAAGATACAATCCCAGTGTAAAAAAAATACAATCCCAGTGTAAGAAAGATACAATCCCAGTGTAAAAAAAATACAATCCCAGTGTAAGAAAGATACAATCCCAGTACAAGAAAGATACAACCCCAGTGTAAGAAAGATACAATCCCAGTGTAAGAAAGATACATTTCCAGAGCAAGGGAGATACAATCCCAGTGTGAGAAAGATACGATCCCAGTACAAGAAAGATACAATCTCAGTGTAAGAAAGATACAATCCCAGTGTAAGAAAGATACAATCCCAGTGTAAGAAAGATACAATCCCAGTGCGAGAAAGATACAATCCCAGTGCGAGAAAGATACAATCCCAGTGTAAGAAAGATACAATCCCAGTGTAAGAAAGATACAACCCCAGTGTAAGAAAGATACAATCCCAGTGTAAGAAAGATACAACCCCAGTGTAAGAAAGATACAATCCCACTGCGAGAAAGATACAATCCCAGTGCGAGAAAGGTACAATCCCAGTAAAAGAAAGATACAATCCCAGTGCGAGAAAGATACAATCCCAGTGTAAGAAAGATACAATCCCAGTAAAAGAAAGATACAATCCCAGTGCGAGAATTGCTGCTTCGCATCGCCTAGTTGTACTTCGCATGATTTGGTTGTACTTCCCATCGCCTAACAATGCTTCGAAATATTTGGTTGTACTTTTCATAGTGTGGTTGTATTTTTACTCGCCTTGGCGTGTTTGGCATGATTTGGCTGTACTTCTCATCGCCAAGTTGCACTTCTCAACGTTTTATTTTTCATCGCTATTTCTGATCGTTTAGCTGAGCGTTAACCGTTCATGCATTTGGTCTTTTCACTACCCAGTTAACGGCAACCGACGTGGACACAGTTGGCAGCGTGAGGTATTCAATAAGTACCGCATCAACAGGGGCAGCGAACAAAGCGTCTATCGACGCTGCCAATGGCACACTGTATCTGCAGGCCAGGGTCAGCGGAGGGGACCAATACATTTTACATATCCGGGCCTCAGACAGTGACAGTGGTCCTAGACGTGACACGTAATTACATATTTTCTTATCCTGATTCATGTCAGTGTATACTTTGTACAGTACTTATCAGCTTGACAAGCAAACAAATCTTTTGCTCACTTGGTATCATTATTTGATAGTGAATGAGTGGGCATTATTTCAGTCAAATAGCGACTATTTGATAGTAATTCATTGATACAAAACATCAGTGGCAAATAATAACCAATCTCGACTATCCACCGAAACACATTGAATTAGGCACAATCGGCAAAAATCTTTGAAACTGTTGTGAATATGGATACTGAAAATCAGTGATGACACCAGGTGTTCGCGGAAAGATAAGCTCGTCCTACCCTACCTCCCCATGACATAGTCGGAATTGTACAATGGACTCTGCTTTTAGCGGGGGTTTCTTAATATGCTGACGGAAAGGGGTTTATTGTTTTGTATTGTACCTATTAAATCGGAAAGGGGTTAATCACTTTGTAGTGTTCCTATAAAAATCATGTCAATACATTTCCTGTAATTGTATTATGATAATGGTGACACGCGTGTGTGCACTGACTGTTAGTTCTAGATTGGCTATTGACCTAATATACGTATCTGTTAATTACGACGTGTGGCAATTTACCAAGGAGGTGATACATTCCCTTCCCAGGGCTGTGGTCCGTATAACGATCACTTCCTCGGACAACAAAGGGCCACGGATTCCAGCAGAACTGTTCACGGTAACCTACAGCGAGTGCATCAGCATAAACAGGTCTATCTTCACGGTCCCGGTACGTCGAACATTGTTCATGGGTCATATAGTTAAGATAATTCATTATAATGGGAAGGCGTGACGGTTTTTAGAACGCTTCAAGGGAGATCACTCATGGGGTAATGTAAATCCAACATTGCGTCTTCTGCATCACTAACAACATTATTCAGGAAATGAAAAAGTATATAAGCTTGAGCGATTTTCTATTAACAACGGACGTCATGTTGGTAATGCCAACTTTGTTCTCTGGAAATGGTTTTCTCGCTTTTATTTATTATTACTGTGAAGAATCAAAATAATGAAACAAAAGGTATGAATTACAGAACAAAGAGATCCATACGTTTCCCCGACATCAGCGCCCAACACGCCAATTTGTGGGTGAGTGAGTGAGTGTGGTTTTACGCAGCCTTTAGCAATATTCCAGCAATATCACGACGGGGGACACCAGAAATGGGCTTCACACATTGTATCCATGTGGGGAAACGAACCCGGGTCTTCAGCGTGACGAACGAACGCTTTAACCACTAGGCTACCCCTCCGCCACCGCCAATTTGTATTAATTTTCAATAGATAATGATTAAATTAGTCTCAACTTATTTTGTGTGTGATAGAATATTATATTTAATTTGGAACATTATTCATTGTTCCTTCCCTGTTCATGACAGGCCACCGATCCCGAGGGCGGACGCCTCAACTTTGCTATCATCGGCGGAAACAACGGAAACACGTTCTCTATTGACAGGTACAAAATACACTAAACTCAGTTACATTTTATAGCTTATTGATAGCTGCATAGATTGCATGGACAAATATGTATTTTGTTGTTACATTTTGTTTTTATGCCACATGTTTGATTATAGTAATATTTAACCTGACATACCAGTTCAACATTACCCGTTACCCGAAGCTTTTCATTGTTCTATGGCTGAGAAAGTTAATTCAGTCTGATGCCGCGTTATAAAGTGTTCAGTTCTATCACGGCGTGTCAGCTTCACGAACAAGTTACAGAGTGGCAAGTCCTGCATGTGGGCGTGTGCCGTATTGTTACATCGGTGAACAGGGCTCTTGTGCTGACCGGTGTCCCGGTATAAATTCTCCCCTCGGAGAATCTGTTCTGAAATGGAATCTCCCCCGGGCGGATATATTTCGCGCCCCCCTCAGTATAAAGTCCCCCCCCCTGATTATTCGGTTTGTTGCAATGTCTTTAAGTACTATATTCTTTAAATAGTTATCTTTAATGTAAGGGGGGGTACTTTAAAAAATAGATTATGAAATATGGTCATAATGTATTGATATTTCAGCATATTTTATTCGGTAACTGTACCTTCCATCCTACAATAATTATAAGACATAATCATACCAAACAAAGGATGGGAGACAAGAGTCTCTACAGAGTTTGTTGTTTCCCGGGGGGAGATTTTATTCTGGGGGCGAATATATTTCGTGACACCGGCACACTCTGCACGTATCTGATTTTTGAACTCACGATCAGCGGATCAAGGCATAGTAAAGGGACGCAACCTTGTAGAGGGAATAACGTCGAAGACAACTACTGAATCACCCACGTTTCTATCATATTGAAGTTAACTTATTATAACTATTTCTGTTATTGATGTATTTTCTTCCAGAGATGGTACGATTACTAATCTTCTCCCCCTTGACTTTGAGATGGTGAATGTGTATAGTCTGTTAGTGGAAGTCTCGGATGCTGCCTCTGTGGTGAGTCACATGTTAAAAAACCCTGCTTCACATACAGGATTTAAATTTTGTTTTTAAAGGATAAACTTATTTTTTATAATGCAAAGTGTGAATGGAAACTACAAACCCGCATAAACATTGTTAACATTCGGGTCTTTAATCATGAATGCGTTTGTCTTGGAAAAAGTATATTTTGATTTGACAAGAGTAATATCAATGTATGATTAAGTGTATATGGTGAGGTGAGGTGTTTGACGTCGCGTGAAAGATTATTGCCCTTATATAGCCACGTGCATGCACGTGTGTGTGTGTGGCTGCTTGTACTAGCCCACTGATATACCATGCCGCAGTGTATCATGAATACCCCACTCAGACACATTATACTGACTCCGAGCCGACCAGTCCCTGTTTTAATCCCTTAGCGCCGAGTTCCAGGCAGAGTTACCAAACGTACCATATGTTAACACCTTTTGTATGACGCGGCCGGGGTTCTAACCCCGGACTGTCCGCGTGGACGCTCCACCACCAGACCCCCGATGCGGTCTTTATAGTGTACAAGGCTATGTATGTAGTTATTCACAAAAAGTGTTCACAAATTCACTAAAGTAAGCATGAAATGGAAGTCCATTTTACCAGAGGTGCCGTCTAGAAAAAGAAAAGAAGCGTGACGCTAGTTCATGATAACATGCAGTAGTTATTAGATAGACTCCCACACAGGAGTCCCAACCTTTTAAAGCACACGTATACATATTGACACCCCGTTTCAACCAACACCATATTGAACATAATTTGTGACGAAGGTCCCGGTAGCAATTATCATCGTCTAGAACTGCGGTTCACACTCGAAGTCGTTGTGACCATAGAATATATATCTGATTGGTGGTCACAACGACTTACGAGTTAAGTTTTGACTTTTCTTCCTGTTGTTCGGTGAGTTCTTATTATAGAATAGAGCGTAAGACACAGTCACTAAGACAATGCTGTGGTGGTTATGTGTTTCACAGACAGCTACAACGACTGTTCGAGTAGTGGTGGCAGATGTCAATGACAACTCCCCAGCATTCAATGGAACTACAGATGGAATATATACCTTCACCGTCATGGAGCTTAAAACTTCAGCTGTTATCGGAAACGTTATGGTGAGTGCATTTGATGGCAATAGCTTTTAGGTAAATGTTTTTAAACGATTTTAAACGCACGCACGCACGCACGCACGCACGCACGCACGCACGCACATACACGCAAACAAACAAAAACGATTTTACCCCCTTACACACATATAGCTTGTGCTGTAGACCACTTTGATGTTGTTTTCTTGTATTTACGTGTAAGCTGTATATTTTATCTTGGCAACCTGTCTATTTACCTAGTAAATATCAACGGATGCCACACGTACTTTTATAGAATCATTTAGAACATTCTGTCCATGTTGATGCTTTGTGAAGTACAAATCGAACGGTGCCTTGATTATTATTATTAAAACCTTCTATTAGCCATGGGTCAACCTTGCATACATTCATGAATACAGGCCTTCTTTTTGAAAGTCGATTCCAATACAAATTGAATCGTGATCACACTCGTATAATGTATCAATAATATGACGAATGCTTTGACATGAGATGACATCTACTCCATAACGTCTTCACTTCTTTATTTACAGTTTCACATTATCACACAAGCAAGCAAAATACAGGCATTTTTCACGATTATGATTTTATTTGCAATAATCACGCATCCATATTTGTTTATTTAGGCCACTGACGTTGATGAACCAAACACGGACAGATCACGTGTGGTTTACAGTTTAATGGGGACATCGTCGATGTGAGTACAGATGGTGTGTGCTAGCTAAGTCACTCCATGAAAAACCCGTGAAGATTCCCGGGTAGAATAGGTCTTCAGCAACCCATACTTGCCGTAAAAGGTGACTATGCTTGTCGTAAAAGGCGACTAACGGGATCGGGTGGTCAGGCTCGCTGACTTGGTTGATTCATGTCATCAATCCCAATTGAGTTGATCGTTGCTCATGATATTAATCACTGGATTGTCTGGTCCAGACTCGATTATTAACAGACCGCCGTCATAAGCTGGAATAATGCTGAGTGCGGCGTTAAACAACAAACCAACCAACCAAAAAAAAACCACTACATGAAAACCATTAGAATATAAATATAATTGTGTAAATGAAAGCAGCAAAACCCTTTCCATATTCATAAGAAATCAATACCAAAACCAGGGTCGATTGTACGATTCCCTCTATATTATGAGCCTGTGTTTAGGAATCACTATCACACAGTGATGACACCAGGTGTGCGTATCTTGCACCCGTGATTAACGCATGTAAAGGCAGGTCAATTTTTCATCGAAACAAACCATGAGAACACATGGTACAAGTCAAAATAGGGAATTGCATCTCCCATAATTCCCACTGATGCGTCCAATTTGGAAATGTCTTCAACAGGTCTACCATAAAATGTTTTGAAAGCTTTACCGAGGTTGATCAAACTCATTCTGAGCAAGAGTCGTTTGACGCCCTTTGAAATCTCGATAGAAAGAGCATGCTACATTGTACCTTGAAAGTTTGGATGGAGCTGCAGGAGATATTGCTCGCCATAAAGGGAAAGTTGACCATTGGAAAGTTCAAGTCATCTCTCTTGTCATACAGTCTCGTGTAGAGTGTTTTGTCACTCTGAATTCTAATGCATAAATCTAAATAGGAAACATATGAGGCGGTATCGCTGGTCTGCTTTATTTCTGGTTCAGATGGGTAAATCAGTAGCAGGGAATTGGCTATTTGATGGTTATTGATCCTCGATTTACCTGAAGCTTAAGTTAAAGTTCTTGGCCAAATTACTTTGTTTTGACTCGCCAATCCGAGCAGAAATATCATAAGAAGGAGAGCACAATTGGTGCCCATGGGGATGCCTACTTCCTGCCGAAATGTCTTTTCCCCAAATTTCACGTAGATGTCATCAATGAGTAAGTCCCGCATTTCACAGGTTTTCTTAGATAACTTATGTAAACTTCTGTAAACCATAGCCAGAAAGAGGTGGGGAATACCATTGGTACACAGCAGGTACAAGTGCGGGCAAATTGCCGGGACCACAACTGTTTGTCACTGCAATTGACCACTAATGGCTACTGCAAATGTCTATCTCAAACGTCTGAAATATGTTATTAATGACGGACATACTTGTCACAGACTGCGAAATGTATAACTATGTATTGTTCTAATGTGTATAATAATAGATGTGACCCGTTACGATCCGGTTAGAATAGGTGTTCAGCAACCCATGCGTGTCATAAGAGGCGACTATGCTTGTCGGAAGAGGCGACAAACGGGATCGGGTAGTCAGGCTCGCTGACTTGGTTGATGTATGTCATCGATCCCAGTGGTGAAGATTACTGCTCATGATACCAATCACTGGATTGTCTGATCCAGACTAGATAATTTACAGACAGCCGTCATATAGCTTGAATATTGCGGTGCGGCGTTAAGCAACAAACAAACAAACACACCAACAATGGATGTTCCAGATTCAATGATATGTCTCTCTCAGGTTCGAGATCGACGCCCAGTCTGGTCAGATATCATGTGGGTTTCCGGACCCTGCCCACCAGCCGATACACGAGCTGACCGTCATAGCCACGGACAGCGCCAGTGATGCCAGGATGTCAGCGGTGACCGTTGTGGTCAATGTCTCTGTCCCCATTTTTGGCGTCAAGAACTATGAAGTAGTTGTGTTGGAGAACGCTCAGGATGTGCCAGTTGTCAACGTAACCGTACGTATATGTAGTAGTGCTAGAGAACACTCAGGATGCGCCTATTGTGACCGTTACAGTACGTATATGTAGTAGTGCTAGAGAACACTCAGGAGGCGCCTGTTGTGGCCGTTACAGTACGTATATGTAGTAGTGCTAGAGAACACTCAGGATGCGCCTGTTGTGACCGTTATAGTACGTATATGTAGTAGTGCTAGAGAACATTCAGGATGCGCCTGTTGTGGCCGTTACAGTACGTATATGTAGTAGTGCTAGAGAACACTCAGGAGGCGCCTGTTGTGACCGTTACAGTACGTATATGTAGTAGTGCTAGGGAACACTCAGGATGCGCCTGTTGTGACCGTTACAGTACGTATATGTAGTAGTGCTAGAGAACACTCAGGAGGCGCGTGTTGTGACCGTTACAGTACGTATATGTAGTAGTGCTAGAGAACACTCAGGATGCGCCTGTTGTGACCGTTACAGTACGTATATGTAGTAGTGCTAGAGAACACTCAGGAGGCGCGTGTTGTGGCCGTTACAGTACGTATATGTAGTAGTGCTAGAGAACACTCAGGATGCGCCTGTTGTGACCGTTACAGTACGTATATGTAGTAGTGCTAGAGAACACTCAGGAGGCGCGTGTTGTGACCGTTACAGTACGTATATGTAGTAGTGCTAGAGAACACTCAGGATGCGCCTGTTGTGACCGTAACAGTACGTATATGTAGTAGTGCTAGAGAACACTCAGGATGCGCCTGTTGTGACCGTTACAGTACGTATATGTAGTAGTGCTAGAGAACACTCAGGATGCGCCTGTTGTGACCGTTACAGTACGTATATGTAGTAGTGCTAGAGAACACTCAGGATGCGCCTGTTGTGACCGTTACAGTACGTATATGTAGTAGTGCTAGAGAACACTCAGGATGCGCGTGTTGTGACCGTTACAGTACGTATATGTAGTAGTGCTAGAGAACACTCAGGAGGCGCGTGTTGTGGCCGTTACAGTACGTATATGTAGTAGTGCTAGAGAACACTCAGGAGGCGCGTGTTGTGGCCGTTACAGTACGTATATGTAGTAGTGCTAGAGAACACTCAGGAGGCGCGTGTTGTGACCGTTACAGTACGTATATGTAGTAGTGCTAGAGAACACTCAGGATGCGCGTGTTGTGACCGTTACAGTACGTATATGTAGTAGTGCTAGAGAACACTCAGGATGCGCCTGTTGTGACCGTTACAGTACGTATATGTAGTAGTGCTAGAGAACACTCAGGATGCGCGTGTTGTGACCGTTACAGTACGTATATGTAGTAGTGCTAGAGAACACTCAGGATGCGCCTGTTGTGACCGTTACAGTACGTATATGTAGTAGTGCTAGAGAACACTCAGGAGGCGCGTGTTGTGACCGTTACAGTACGTATATGTAGTAGTGCTAGAGAACACTCAGGATGCGCGTGTTGTGACCGTTACAGTACGTATATGTAGTAGTGCTAGAGAACACTCAGGATGCGCCTGTTGTGACCGTAACAGTACGTATATGTAGTAGTGCTAGAGAACACTCAGGATGCGCCTGTTGTGACCGTAACAGTACGTATATGTAGTAGTGCTAGAGAACACTCAGGATGCGCCTGTTGTGACCGTTACAGTACGTATATGTAGTAGTGCTAGAGAACACTCAGGATGCGCTTGTTGTGACCGTTACAGTACGTATATGTAGTAGTGCTGGAGAACATTCAGGATGCGCCTGTTATGACCGTTACAGTACGTATATGTAGAAGTGCTAGAGAACACTCAGGATGCGCCTGTTGTGACCGTAACAGTACGTATATGTAGTAGTGCTAGAGAACACTCAGGATGCGCCTGTTGTGACCGTTATAGTTCGTATATGTAGTAGTGCTAGAGAACACTCAGGAGGCGCGTGTTGTGACCGTTACAGTACGTATATGTAGTAGTGCTAGAGAACACTCAGGAGGCGCGTGTTGTGACCGTTACAGTACGTATATGTAGTAGTGCTAGAGAACACTCAGGAGGCGCGTGTTGTGACCGTTACAGTACGTATATGTAGTAGTGCTAGAGAACACTCAGGATGCGCCTGTTATGACCGTTACAGTACGTATATGTAGTAGTGCTAGAGAACACTCAGGATGCGCCTGTTGTGACCGTTACAGTACGTATATGTAGTAGTGCTAGAGAACACTCAGGAGGCGCGTGTTGTGACCGTAACAGTACGTATATGTAGTAGTGCTAGAGAACACTCAGGATGCGCCTGTTGTGACCGTTACAGTACGTATATGTAGTAGTGCTAGAGAACACTCAGGATGCGCGTGTTGTGACCGTTACAGTACGTATATGTAGTAGTGCTAGAGAACACTCAGGAGGCGCCTGTTGTGACCGTTACAGTACGTATATGTAGTAGTGCTAGAGAACACTCAGGAGGCGCGTGTTGTGGCCGTTACAGTACGTATATGTAGTAGTGCTAGAGAACACTCAGGAGGCGCGTGTTGTGGCCGTTACAGTACGTATATGTAGTAGTGCTAGAGAACACTCAGGATGCGCCTGTTGTGACCGTTACAGTACGTATATGTAGTAGTGCTAGAGAACACTCAGGATGCGCCTGTTGTGACCGTTACAGTACGTATATGTAGTAGTGCTAGAGAACACTCAGGATGCGCCTGTTGTGACCGTTACAGTACGTATATGTAGTAGTGCTAGAGAACACTCAGGATGCGCCTGTTGTGACCGTTACAGTACGTATATGCAGTAGTGCTAGAGAACATTCAGGATGCGCCTGTTGTGACCGTAACAGTACGTATATATAGTAGTCATATCAATACTTTGCTGAGTCTATCGCCCAATATGCCAACAAATAATTCGTGTGATCTCGGAAGTCCTATTGCGCCAGCAGTTTGGTCGTGAGATCCACGAGATGTTAATAAACCCGCAGTTTCGTCTTGGGATCTCCAATTGTAATTACATCAGCTTCCGAGGTATGACACTTGTATTTGTCGTCTAGAGAACTCCATGTCTTATTGTATCAGCGGCTTAGTCGTGGGACACCGAAGTGTTATTAAACCTGCAGACAGGATAAGTTTAAATAGGTGTTGATTGCTGTTGATTGATGGCTTGCGAATGCATATGTGGACTGCTTCTGTCAGGTCTCTTTAGTGAAGTCATGGAGGTTGTTGCCTGTACAGTATTATAGAAGTTGTTATCCATAAATTATGTCTACTTTTTCATCCGTCATCTTCTAAGTAATGCCTATCAAACAATTCACTGAACGTGTTGGTCGATACACCGAGGATAATATAGGTGTAAATTATTTATCTTGGGGTCACTGAACACATCGTCTTACCTTTAGTGTAACGTTAACGAATTCAAGCAGAGAGAAGTAAATGAAGCGGACATAAATTATTCTCAAATGTTTCCTTTAAAACACAGATATTTACGAATTGCTCTATTCCTCTATCCATCACATTCAAGTGACGTCTGAATTCGAGTTCCACATTCCATCGACTATGAAAATAATATGTAAACATATATAAAGGTACGGTCATTGAAGATCCGGGATAGAATAGGCTTGTCGTAAAAGGCGACTAACGGGATCGGGTGGTCAGGCTCGCTGACTTGGTTGATGCATCTTATTGTGTCCCAGTTGCGTGGATCGATGCTCATGAATTGTCTGATCCAGACTTGATTATTTACAGACCGCCGTCATATAGCTGGAATATTGCTGAGTGCGGCGTTAAACAACAACAATGCAAACATGCACTAATATCTAAATAAAATCGACAAAAAAAAATCCATATTCATAAACAACATCTGCCAAACACAGAGTCGATGGTGCGATTCCGACTATAGCACGAGTATGTGTATACGTCTTTTAAGATACACTTTCGTTTATTGAACATAGGCTGATAATCGCGACCAGTCCGCATCAGCAAGTTACAAGTTCACTGCTGGAGATTATCAGAGCTTCAGCATCAACCCACAGACGGGGGAGATTAGGACAGCCGTCCCACTTGACTATGAGAGCAGACACGAATATGTGTTGGAGGTGTCCACGTATTACGGTACACTAAGTAGTTTACCATCGTCTACAGCAACAGTCAGCGTCGCGGTCGCGGTGAGTAAAGAATATATTATATATAAATTTCATGATCACATTCACCAGGCGTGTAGTTTCACATCACTATTATCAATATTCTAGCCATATCACGAAGGAGGTCACCAATAATTACCCACGAGAGAATCAACCCGGGTCTTTGGCGTGGCGAGCCACGACTTTAACCACTAAGCTATCATACCGCCTAAGAAATTGACCTGACCATGGCCACATGTGAATTTGGAAGTTGTATTTAGGAAATACGTCAACAATATCAGCTGGTTGACAAACCGGCAAATGTTTCTTGTTGTTTGTAACAACTGTATTTGTAAGGCCGTTGTGGAGACGGTACATGATTGATTGTTTGTTGTTTAACGCCGCACTCAGCAATATTCCAGCTTTATGACGATAGTCTGTAAATAATCGAGTATGGACAATCCAGTGTTTGACACCAAGAGCATCGATCTACGCAATTGGGATATGATGACATGCACTAACCAAGTCAGCGAGCCTGGCCATCCGGTGTCGTTAGTGGCCTCTTACGACAAGCATGGGTTGCTGAAGACGGTGGATGCACAATGCTCAGTTTGATGATGATTTCAATGTACCAGCTACCTGGCCTAATTGCACAGCATCATGAATAAAACTGTCAAATATCCAAACTATTTTTGCTATACGTCGTAATTAACTACGCCCTCGTGGGTTGCCTCCCTTAGCTGTGCCAGAACCCGCTGATTATGTGTTCTAATCCCTCCTCTTGTCTCGTAATGAGGATATAGAGTTTTATAATCGTTCCCATGTCTGAGGTGTACAAGAAATATACTTTTGACCAACAAAATCACGTCTCTACATAGAAACAACAAATGATGCTTATTTCATTATAAGAACTTAACATATACAAGAGACGCATATTCATTACAATCTAGTAAGAAGAAACTACATTTTATTTTTTATAAGTAAAATACTTCATAGCAATATGTTTACGAAAGTAACATTCAGTCCAGAAAGTGTTTTAGTTCAATAAATTGTTATAATGCATTTATATTTGTTAAAACAGCCTGGTAATGTACGCTTGCTATTACAGCAATTCAAATATAGTTGTACCACACGTATGTACAGTTCTTGATGATATTGAATGTTCTCTACGAAGGACGTGAATGACGAAAGCCCCGTGATATCAGTGTCTGGCGGTCCTATCAACGTCTATGTCATGGGTAATGCTGCTGTTGGAACACGCATCCTTGACATCAATGCGGTGGACGGCGATCCCGCTGTAAGTAGAACTTATAATGTGTGTAAAGGTTAGTGTCAAAAGGAATGATTGAATACTAGTATGTCAGCGTCAATGGAAGTAACTATGATTGGATACTAGTATGTCAGCGTCAATGGAAGTAAGTACGATTGGATACTAGTATGTCAGCGTCAATTGAAGTAAGTATGATTGGATACTAGTATGTCAGCGTCAATGGAAGTATGTATGTTTGAATACCAGTATATCAGCGTCAATTGAAGTTAGTATGATTGAATACCAGTATGTCAGCGTCGATGGAAGTTAGTATGATTGAATAGTAGTATGTCAGCGTCAGTTGTAGTAAGTATGTTTGAAGACTGGTATGTTATTGTCAATGGCAGTAAATAGTATTGAATACTGGCATGTCAGCATCACACGTAATTCATGTAGTAAGTATGGTGCATAATTTAGGCTATTTCACTGTCAATCAACGATAAAACATACACTTGGCGTTATTTTCCAGAATACTCCAAACAGCAATGTTAAGTTCTACATCGCTAGCGTTACTCCAAGCAACGGAACTGGTTTGTTTGAAGTCAACCAAAGTACAGGAGAGGTCACCGTCGCCACGCTTCTTGGGGACGCCACCCAGTCAACGAATTACACTGTAAGTAAAGACTGCGATGGCTACATCATTGGTACTGTATTACCTGGTCATCAACGCTGTCTTTTGTTATCATATTATTTTTCTCCCGTGGTCGACAAGGCATACATTACAGCTACAGGAAAAGTCTGCATGGGCGTATGTGCAGAACTGCACCCTTTTGCTGTCTAGATCCACTGCGTTTGAATCCCAGACAACGCTGATTACAATCCTCTGTTTGTTAGCACCAGACCAGATATCTCGCCAGAGTGGTAACTGTCTTCTTCTTGTGTCACCCTGGGTTCATCTAGCATTACGCCGTAATATCACAGCGGCGACACGCAACGAGACAGTCACTTATCTTCATGGCTTAACCTTCATCTTCACGCATCTGTTTTGCTAACTGTATTAACACAGTGCGAATCATAGACTGACTGCTGTTAATACGTCGAAGTTTGAAAAGAGTGTTTATCCATGTAATTATAAATAATAATTATTATGATTTCAATCCAATTTGCACATCAAACTGAATATGTTGTCTCTTCAGCTTCAAGTGGTAGCTTCAGATGAAGGAACCCCTCCGAGAACTGATGACATCCTCGTCACTGTGTACATCGGATCTGCATCTGCTTCGTGCAGCACGTGCAGCACCCAGGAGACTAACGGACAAGCTCATGCCACGAGGACCACAGTTGGCACCCTCTTGTTTCTGACCTCCCTTGCTATTGTCTGTAATCCGATGGTAGTCTTTTAGCTTGCCCATACCTCTTGTATATCTATCTAATCAATATATTCCAAATGTGCTACAACTTGCTACTCCATGTATAACTTTGTAATGTCTTATACTGAATTGAAAAAAAAAATAGAAAAAAAAAATATATATTCCAAATGTCATGAAAACCACCGGCCAGAGATTAACACACAATTACTCTGATATTTTATACATTGGTTTGACATCGGTTTTAGTGTCAGTAAAACCAGTAAATTCACTTTGTGTCCGTTAATTGTGTTGCCCATCACTTGATCATCTGCTCGGGACCCGATGGTTTACAGGCCGGCGTCGCATGGCAGGAGTACAATTTTGCCACGTCGGCAACAAACTCTTTCATGCAAATTGTGTGAGTGGCGAGTGATACCGGTAGGGCAGAACATTCTTACGCTTTTCGCGAACACCTGGTGTTATTACTGATTTTCAGTGATCCATTCGCTATGTTGCCTTATTCCCTCAGTAGAATATGTTTCGGCGGATTATTTTCTGGCGTTGACGTTTTATGTGTTATAGTGCGCAATTTGCTCTAGTGGTCCTTAATCTCCTTCCAATATAAATTTGTTAGGTTCACTGTGTGAGCATTGTTAAATCAAGGAACAACACATTTAAAGAAAGTATATGCCAATTCGAAGTTGGCCATACATATTAAACAATAAATATACAGTTGACCAGTCAGAGCAAACTGTGATTTCTACCCTCATCAAACGTTTGGGTAAATATAAGAGCAGGACAGAGCTATCCAAATAACTGCACCTGGAAGAAACCTTGGAACGCACAAGTTGCTCGACCTCATCTCTAACTATACTACTCAATAGAAGTTAAGGATCACCCAATTCCTTCATATTGGTAATGTTAATCTGCCATGGCATGAGAGATTAACTATTGTAATATGGAAGAATCATGTGATCCGTAACTTCTTTTGAGTAGTATACATTACCCTTACTTCTAACTCTCACGTGTAAGCCATTTTCATGTGTTGTCACGGAAATAACATTTGAATTTCTAGTTTTATTTTATGTTTAATATGTGTATTGATACTTGTTCAACGTCATCAATATTATTTAGTCTTATCAATAATATATATCAAACATATTATCAAATTATCAAATATATATATATATATATATATATATATATATATATATATATATATATATATATATATATATATACATTGTTTTTAAAAGGCTTGCATAAAGGACTCCTATCGTGAGTTGTACCGTAGTAGTTCCTAAATAAAAATTCGACAAGGGGATACAGGTATATGAACATGTAGATGCAGATATGCATAATTATATAAAAATAAAGAAAAATAGTGTTAATAATGTTATATAGCAGTGAAAATTATTGTTAAACAATGATTGTAACTGTATTATATTGTTTCTGTTGAGATTCAGTAGAACTTCAATGCATTGCTTTTGGACAATGATTAGTTTACAGGAATGTCGTATAATTTAATGTAAGCAGTGGGATTTATTATATTTAGAAGCTCGAGTGATCTGTAAACTTCCGGAATAGCATGGATGGATTTCAATCGTTATAGAAACATGTGGAATATTCAGTGATGTTCTTGTGACACTGGACTGGTCAAGCACTGAATGGAAAGTGTTGGAAGCTGGTTAGACTACAGACATAAGTGGAGCGGGCACGTGCCTGTCATTTCACATTTCATCAGACATTTTATCTGACATTACATTAAGACCAGCTTTCGTGTGAAGGTGTTCCGCCCAGGTGTATCTCGGAATCTTGAACACTGTGGCGACCAGGTGAAACTAATCTTGTCATTATCATGTTCACTGCTCTCACATTTTATACTGCCATTGATTGAGTATGGTTTTACGCCGCTTTTAGCAATAGTCCAGCAATATCACGGCGGGGGACACCAGAAATGGGCTTCACATCAATAGTTTGAATACAGAATGAGTATGCTATGCTCATTTATCACAGACAACTATATTATAACGAGGGATGATGGAAGATTGGATTCAATTAGGCTAATTCAGAAAATATAAAATTAATGTAAATCTGTACAGGGACCATTGCTTGAATCACATTCAAAACCTTTCCGCTGCTATATTCACTAAAAACATGATGCTATATAAACTGAGGGGAATCTGTTTTTCGTAATTCAAAATTGAAAGAGTTGTTAAATGGATTATGTCTGTTCAACCATCACCCCTTCCTGCAACAGTTTATAACAAATAATCTGTGGCTGGTTTATTTTGTGAAGACTTGGTTAAGAAATTAAATTGCAACGACATGACCTCTACCAGGTTTAAAATGTTGTAATTTTTTATCAAAGAAAGCAACTATATTGAATTTTAAAGATAACATGTCTAAGATACCCATCAGCAGTTGTATATTAAGCTTCTTTTTTATATTAATTTCTAAAAGTTTTAAATCAAATTATATTTAAAAGAATATAACAATGTAGAGGTACGCGCCAGTACAGTTCATGTTTTGGATATATACATATTGCTAACTTTAAAAAATTTCAATTAAAAGATCTAACATATGATAAAATCAACTGAGAGATATAGTTTCCTCTGCTCCTCAATTTGGAAATGAGCTCTTAAAAAGCAAGAAACGTAACACCACGATTCTCTTATCACACATACAATTCCCGTAAATCGATTTCATGACTATACATTAACATGTAGGGCAAAAAATTCGAGGATCTGTAGCTCAGTATATTTCTTTTGAATCTTTGCAATATCAGATCATAAAGGTCATATTGAAAATGTAAACGCGAAAATGAAACACACACAGAACTAAGTAAGGATGCAATACATATTATAAGACAAGATGCAGGGATTGCTTTGTGATGAAAACAAAATACATCATGGATATATCTGCGAAGATAATCACCAGGTATAAATCCACAGCGAAATTGAATGCACAGTTTTTTTCCCTGGGACCATACATACACGTCTGACATCACAAACCAAGAGGTTTTATAGAGGTGACGTAAAATTGAAGTAATACGGTGATACGTGAAGATCGGGCGTCAAAGTAGGATCACAAAACAAAATACGGCATACCACATACACACAACATATCAACTTTTATTATGATACTTTAAATGAAGACATGGATGAATAATGATACAAAATGAATGTTCTTCATACACAGTGTTAGCTTCAATATTCTTGTGCTATGCTTGCAGTAAATTATTAAAATATACACGTATGTAAATGAAGGTTATGAGATTGCACCGGCCTTCACAAACGTCAACTAAATAAACCGTGAATAAAACCTATAGTTGCCAAATCCATTAAGTAAACCAAGTCATAATGTAACCATACTATGCAAAGTGAACGACAGATACAACTATTTGGAAAGGGTCTGGGCGAAATTGATGGTAAAGAATAACATTGGCAACAGTTATTGTAGAATCTCCCACATGACACGAGGATGTTATATAAGACTACCTACAATGTACATCATCAGTATGATCACATTCAATACACTTACAATAACTGAACTCATGTCCCCTAAACTGAGTTTTCTTCTTAAATAGTACATTGAAAAGATATTGAGTCAAGCGTTATGATCCGAAACACAACGACAAACGATGGCTTAAACAGCGGCTCGAGGCGTGTCGCGTCACGCCGAAGGCCCGGATTCGGTTCCCGACATGGGTACAATGTGTTTAGCCAGATTATGTTGTCCCCCGCCGTGATATTGCTGGAATATTGCTAAAAGCAGCCTGAAACCATACTCACTCACTCTAAGTCTTTTGTCAGCTTCTCCTTTGCCTCTTCGTCCAATTTGTTTCGTGTCGGCTACATTCTCCACGTATTGGTATTGTTTGATGTCCTCAGGATAAGTTTAATGTATCGTTAAATATATCAGGTAAGGGTAGAGAGCCTGATGTTTATTCTTGCTACATATACAAAATATGTTTCTCAAAACGCTTACAATGGGCATATTGTGCATAACAAATCTCATGATTTTGCCTACAAGCCATGAACGGCCGAAACGACACAATGTGACCCGATGCGACAGCTCTGTTTTGAACATTCTAGCTGTTCTCGACCACAAAACACGTGTGCCCAAGGTAACCGTGCTTATGTTAACCTTAATACCTCGATTATCGGCCGAAAGATATTCCATTGGGAGAGGGAGAGCATAATACAGCGAGAGCAGTGAGAGTATGCGACGGATTGAATTATCTGTCCTACATAGCAGATATCTGCCTCTCTCTCATATATCAGACGGATACCAGATTCCCGTGCCCTTTATAAAGCCTTTATCAAGACCGGAAATAATTATGATGTCTCGTAAGAGGAAGCGGGGGAGATGGGACTGTGGCTAACTTCGTAGTCGTGTTAGTGATGACTGACATTCTCACGGTCCATGTGTATCATACCGAGGGACTGGCCATTTATTATATATTCGGATCACCGAAGACTGTTACATTTCTTCATGACCCCCTCCCAACAATAAATGGATAGATATTCAAATTTATCACTTTTATTTGAAAAACATAGAACTCATTTTTTTGTGCCCGCCCCGTCCTTCTCTGGAATAACGTTTCGACCCTCCCTTCTTCATCCACCCCCTTAATCTCCCCCGCCCCCCTCCCCCTATAATAAATGTCCAGTCCTTGATCTTACGCTCAGATCTGAAGACCGATGTATTCTATAACAAAGGCTTTATTACCATCTGGAACCGCCTCCGTGTTCTAGTGGATATAGCGTCTGCACAGAGAGCAGAAGGACGGTGGTTCGAATCCCGACCGCGTCACTCCAAAATACGTTAAATATGTACTTGTTGTTACCCTACATGACGTTAGGCTTTAAGAGGATAAAACATGGACAGTTCTACTCGGAGTCATTATACTGTGTCGGAGTGGGTATCCGTGTTAAACTGCGGCATGTATACCCGTGGACTAGCCCTATAAAACCGGCATAAGTCAGAAACCGTACAAGCATATGTATCGTACGTGGTAGTTATTATTACCCAGGTATTTAGTAAATAAAGCGACCAAACCCTTCCCATATCCAATAGAAATCCATTGTACGAGTCAGACCATATCATAAGCATGTGTTTATGAATCACTATCAAATAGTAATGATACCAGATAATAATACATTTTTTTAGGTTTGATTAACTAATACAAAAAGACATGTTGTGCCAGTAGGTGGATTCTCGCTTTGGTGCAGTTAAAAACTATGCTTTGATGTTAGCAACTGAAAGAAGGTTAATAAGCTTTTG